CAGTCTCAGGAGCTTGTGCCTCTTCGGGGGTGCTAGCAATTAACCTATAAACGTTATCGTTTACTTTCTCCGTCTTTATATGTAGATATTACTTTTCTCCGTTAATCTCCGTCACGTTGTTTCCAAAGCAACGACAACTTCCTGTCAACAGCGCTACCTCTCCTTCAAAATAAAAGTATGTCCATAAATAGGAAGCCAAGCCAAATTACACTTAATACAACTGCAACAAAAATAACAAACACAATGCGATATCCTTTTCAATTTCAAAGAACACAAATTGGGTTACATTAACAAATAACTATAAAACAACAATACTGTAGAATAACAAAATGAATGCCGTGAATACACCGAAATACACGTGTTGGCATCAGCACTTTTGAAACAGGGCTGAAACAGGGGATTACGGGATGCTACACTGATACTGTTTGGTATTTCGAGTCAAACACTTCAGACACATGTTTTGTATATATCTGAGACCTATAATATATTGATGAAAAACAGTATAATTGGGGACCTTTAACTCGCTGTCCCTCATTGTAATTTTGTTTTACTGCCAATATCAATGCATTCAATTGCAATGTGTACTGTGTCCCCAGATGAGCGCGCAGTAGCTTCCTCAGACTATGACAGCACCTACGACAGCACCTATGAGACCAACCACAGTGACAGCAGCGACTTTGCACAGAATGATGAGGAGGGAGAGGGAGGCAAGAAGCAGCCTGAAGCCAGGGAAGGTTGCAGGGAGTATCTGGCAGAGGGAATCGTTCTTCACCCACTCCTGTCATCACCAGAGGTAGGCCGTCAGAAAGGGCTGATTGGGTAACAGGAACAACAAAGTCTCAATTGTCTCTTATGAGCTCAAATGCTTCAAATCCCTCAAAAAAACTATGAGAAAAAGAAGAAGATGGATCATTTCTTTCTTAATAAGAATGTTGAAATGATACAAGTTATTTTACTCTACCTGACAGGACACGCCAGTCTCTGCCCAGGAGCCTCTGGCGGTGTCTGAGCTGGAGCCTCTCTTGTGTCAAATCAACAACTGGAACTTTCCTATTTTCAGTCTGATGGAGAAGACCAATGGCAAGACAGGCTGCATCCTTAGTCAGGTAAATCACTTATTGATGATGAAATGTTGAAACACTTAAAAGATTTCTGAGATGTCTATACCGATTCAATTAAGGGGGACTCTAATTTTAGGACTGTTTCACATGTATGCAATTAACAGCTTGGTGTAGAAGTAACATTCGCTGTAAAGGCAGTGGGAAGACATATTTTCCATCTGTTCCAAAACATTTTTTGTCATCGCCGATTCTCAACCTTTCTTTAACAAAACATGTGCTATGGACAGAGGACTACTTTCAAACCTTTATTTAACCAGGTAGGTCCCATTGAGATCATTGATCTCTTTTTCAAGGGAGACCTGCAGCAAATAGGTTACAACATGAAACATAAAAGAACATCAAACAATAAAGGACATCATATTTACAGGGCTACATTTACATACTGTACAGCGACATTGACAAGTACCAACAGTATCAAGTATCATTGCACCTATCCAAGCTTTAAAAACATGCAGTGGAACCAAATTGCTCAGTTTCAATTCTTTTTGAAGACCGTTCCAAGCTAGAGGAGCTGCGCACATAAAAGCTTTCGTACCTAAGTCAGTCCTTGCACTTGGCACATGTAACAAGACCACATCATGTGATCTCAGGCAATAGCTACCTGCAACTCTCTGTGTGATCAGAGAGCAGATATAAGACAGGAGTTTACCCAACATGGCTTTATATATGAACATGTACCAGTGACTGAGCCTCCGTACAGGAAGTGAAGGCAACCTGCCCTGGCATACAGAGCACAGTGATGAGTAAGAGCTTTACAGTTAGTAACACATCTCAGTGCACTGTGATAGGCGGCATCTAACTTGTTCAGGTACTTCTGAACCTCTATTAAATATGACTCACAGTATGTTTTCCTTGTTTCATACTCCAGGTTTCCTATAAGCTCTTTGAGGACACAGGTCTATTTGAGACCTTCAGAATTCCTGTACGAGAGTTCATGAACTACTTCCATGCTTTGGAGAACGGATACAGGGTCATCCCTTGTGAGTGGAAGATTTTCATGTTTATTAAATTAAGTGAATTATTGATGTCGAGCATTACTTTTATCAGCCACAAGGGGGATGTAGTGCCTTGTTAAAGTGATTTGAGAACAGGCCTTGTTTCTGCTTTAGTAATTTATGGTTTGCTCTTATACTTGACAGTTGGCAGACATATCAAGTCACAAGATGATCATATCTAATTAACTATGTGTTTATGTCAATTCATATTGAAATGGAATATGTAGCTGATGGGTAGCATGAGCTTTTAAAATGGTTTTACAGCATCTAAAATCCTTATGTTTCTAAAATAAAGTACAACTATATTTATACATTATGCAATTATCTTTAGGAGGTCTACATGGTTTAGATTTTCTCTTCCCTATGAAAACCGGGAAAATAGTGCCTGCAATGTGTACTGCTTTTGCAACATATACCTAATATTTTACAAATATATATTATAAAAGAGCAAGCCTAACACTGCTGACTGCAATCAATCGTATCAGTCCCTTTTTAAAATGTGTTTTACCCTCCCCAGATCATAACCGGATCCATGCCACTGATGTGCTCCATGCTGTTTGGTACCTCACCACTCAGCCGGTACCGGGCCTGCCGACCCTGCTGACTGAGAATGGGATACTCACTGGTGAGGAATTTTAATGCATGCGGTTTTAAGAGCAGGCCTGCACAATATGTTCCCCATAAGGTCCAGATGTTTGTAAGTATAATAAATTGCTGACCCATGCCATTAGGAGCAGTGGGCTGCCATTATGTACGGCGCTTGGGGGGAGCAGTGTGGGGAACGGTGCCTAGCTCAGGGACACCTCTGTAGCACTTGGACTTTCGGGGACTTGAACTGGTGACTTTTCCCGTTTCAAGCCAAGTCCCTATGACTTTGCCACCACTGCCAGTTGATCTCTTGTGTCCAGATAAATCATGTAATACATGCTGTAACATGTTGCATATTATTTCACACACATTCACAGAGGTAGGCTTACGAAACAAAACTAAACTGAACATGCACACATTGTTTACAAAAGACAGACAAACAGACACAGTATGTTGATAATGTCCTTCCGATTAAAATAATAGTAGCTAGGTGAAATTAGTAAAAATTATAAATTTGCCTCAGGGGTTTTAAAATGTGTAAAGGCTGTACACCGTTTAATTGTTGTTTGCTGTACAGTATAGCAAAACACACCCTCTGTCCTTAGCCCCTTGCAGTGGACAAATATAAACTCCCCCTCAAAAAAACTAAAAGGTATTAAGAAAATCCAAGAGGCGGAGGAATCCCTCTCCCAGGAGAGACAGACTTGCAATAGATATTGTGCGTTTAGAATAAGCAACTTAATAATCCCAACATAGACAATCCATATGAAAAAAATAACATTGTGAACTTACTTACATTGTGAAAAATAAAAGTTGTCTAACAGCTTTTCGCTGCTGCCAAAAATAATAACGTGGGCTCCAAGAAGGACCAAGGCAACAGGCGCAATCCAGACAGCCATTTAACACGACAACCTACAAGACGAATAATGAGGTGTAACTAATAAGGGGGAATCATTCGAGCACACAGCACCATCAGTGACTGGAGTGTGAGCTTTGTTTCTTTTTGCTCGTAGACCCAGAGAATGGCATTTCTCCTGGTGCCACAGGCTTCCTGGTGTCCAAGATGAACTCTGTGCTGGAGGACGGTTACAGCTCCCTGGCTGGCCTCATCCCTGGCCTGGAGCTCATGGCCCTCTATGTAGCTGCTGCAATGCACGATTATGACCATCCTGGAAGGACTAACGCTTTCCTTGTAGCTACAAGTGCACCGCAGGTAAGACTGGCTCTGCGCAACAGCATAAAGTAGAGCAAGCTGTTATAAAAAACGTTTGCTTTGAACTCAATAAGTCAATGTGACAACCTGTCCTATATGTGAAAAACATGTATTTCATGAAGGTAATAATTTTCATTAATAATAGTTATTCAACAACCTAGGGGGAATATGCCATAAAAAATAGTTATTATTATATTATATTTGAACATATCAATATTAGCTTATTGCAGTGCCAACCAGATAATGAATAAGCTCTATCCATTACAATATCAAGTCAATATCAATACCACAATTCTCATGGTGAAAAACACTAAAGTCTTATATAACAAGACAGCATTTTATTTCACCTTCTCCTCTTGGTCTTCCACTGTAGGCTCTTCTGTACAATGATCGTTCCGTCTTGGAGAACCACCATGCAGCTTCAGCGTGGAACCTCTTTATGTCCCGACCTGAGTTTAACTTCCTGGCAAACCTCGAACATGTGGAGTTCAAACGCTTCCGCTTCCTAGTTATTGAAGCCATCCTGGCCACTGACCTCAAAAAGCACTTTGACTTCCTTGCAGAATTTAACGCTAAGGTAAAAAATCTTTGAAATAACCTCTCAGATTGTCTTGAAACTAAGGGATTTCATAACAGTTTTAACACAAACCATCCTGTGCACATCTCCCTAGGTAGGTGACGAAGGAGTTTCCGGTATTGATTGGACCAACGAAAACGACCGGCTGCTGGTGTGCCAGATGTGCATCAAGCTGGCTGATGTCAATGGACCGCTGAAGTGTAAGGAGCTGCACCTGCAGTGGACAGAGGGCATCGTCAACGAGTTCTACGAACAAGTATGCTAAAATATCCCTTACAATTCTCTTTTTAAAAGTTACACATTGATTGGTGGAAGTGTACTTTACCAAGTACAGTAAGTTCTAAATACTACCTACTGGTAACAAATTGCAAAGACGTTGCTAGGAAGATATATAAAATCTGAACAAAATTATATTTTTTCTAGGAAAAGGTCCCTGTGATGTCATAAAGGGTTTGTGGACTAGGTTAGGAGGCCCCTAGTATGTCATTTTTGCTATTGCCATCTTAGTTTTGCATTAAGGATGGAACAGGGTGGAGCAAAATAAAACCAAATGCTGGAAAATGTTTACAAATACATTCCTGGACTAATAACACACTGTAAAGGGTTATAAATTGAAAGTAGGAAACAAGGAGGGCAACCAGATTGGACAACATAGTGGTAAAAAAAAAGGTAAAGCATATGCTGCTTAATGCTCTAGTTTACTACAAATGGGATCACATTTTTTAAATGAACATCATGCGTTATTGACGAAGACTTGAAACTAGCAATTGAGATCATAAACTCGTCAGAATTTATTTTACTTGGGTGAGCAATTAAACAACAATATATATTTTTTAATCTGCTACTATAAATTCACATTGGCCACCTTAAGCTGTTGACCATTCCAGACCAATTCCTGCTGTAGCTGCAGATCCTTTGAGTGTAGAGAATTGAATAATAGTGCATTTTATTTTCAACATCTCAAGTGTACCTTTCTCAAGCGTACAAGGTCACAGATACAAAAAAGACCCAACTCTCCTTGCCGACCCCAGTCACCTTATGTTCAGTGAGTTCAGGTTGCAATCTGGTTGCAGAAATGTTCTCCCAAGATGTCGGACCAATAGATTGAAGAATCCATTAGTCCCTGTTTCTATGTGTTTGTATGCTGATTAGTCTGTTGACTGTATAACTGCTGGCTCAGCAACAAATTGGCCCTCAGGAACAGTGTTGGGCAAGTTACTTCCAAAATGTAATATATTACATATTACTTATTACTCTCTTTTGAAAGTAATAAGTTACATTACAATATTACTGTCTCTGAAATGTAATGAGTTACACTACTTTAGTTACTTTTTAGTTACTTTCACCAAAATAACCGCAAAAGAATAGCTAGGTATTTTAAATGCTAAAATGTAGTTTAGTGCAGCTCATTATGCATCCAGTGAAGGGCAATGTGGCATAGCATAACAACTGTGTAGGCCCTTAAGGCTACTAACAACTTGTATTACACNGTTAAAGTTAGACGAATACAAACAAATGTTTTCTGTAAATAAAATGCAAGGGAAGGTAAGATAATTGTTCTTATTCCTGAGGGCCAATTTGTTGCTGAGCCAGCAGTTATACAGTCAACAGACTAATCAGCATACAAACACATAGAAACANGCTCAGTAACGCAGTTACAACACATTTTAACCCGAAATTAAATGGTGTTTTGTTTTTTAAGAATGTACTAACATAGCGAGACATTCCGACACCGGACAATTTGTCCGGTGTCGGAATGTCTCGCTATGTTAGTACATTCTTAAAAAACAAAACACCATTTAATTTCGGGTTAAAATGTGTTGTAACTGCGTTACTGAGCATTGTAACGGGTAATATATTACCCACATTTCATTAGTAATGCGTTACATTACTTCGTTACAGCAAAAAGTAATATATTACTGTAACTCCGTTACTTTTGTAACGCGTTACACCCAACACTGCTCAGGAATAAGAACAATTATCTTACCTTCCCTTGCATTTTATTTACAGAAAACATTTGTTTGTATTCGTCTAACTTTAAAATCCCTTAAAACTTTAATGCTAATCAACATTTATGAATAAAAAAACAACATATTTGGTATTTTTTCTCAAGGTCAGAAATAACATGCATCATAAGGACTGAGTGGGTGATGTTTTATCAGATTTGATTGACAGTCAGCAAAAAGCCAACCAACTCTTATCCGACTCTTGGAATTGTGTTACAATATTTCCAAGGATAAAGCGATAGATGTTGCTTCCTAGAAGCAATTCAGCTTTTTGCTCACCTCTTATAGAGTGAGGTCAGGGACAACTGCATAACAGCATCTCTGCAGATGATAGTAATTTGCTTTCTCGCTCAAGGACCTTCCGCCAAGTGCTTTACTGTATGTGCGAAACTGGAAGTTCCCTGCAAACAGAAATCAAATCAAGTTTTATTTATATAGCACATTTTTAAAACGATTTTTGGTTTTGGAAATAGAATAGTCAAAAGACTTGTCTACTAGCTCATGAATTTGTTAAGAGACCACTGTAGATGGATGCATGGCAACATATCCTGCCCTTAACCAACAGTGCGTCTCATTGGTCAGTTCAGTAAGTGCCAAGCAAATCGCCAAAGACTTAAATAAAGCTATTTTTTGCTTTGCATTAAAGAAGGTAAAGGTGCAAACAAATATTTCTTTCACTTTTATCCCTAATATTTATTCAACTCGAAATGAAAAAACATATTTGTATGTAGCCTATACAACGATTTATTATCACAATGCTTCTCAATCAGCCAACTGACTCAATATTTGTTTATTTTGTCCATTCTTAATAAAAATGTTTGTGTACAATCATATTTGAAAACCAGGAAAAAAATCTAGAAAAAAAATCATAGCTTTGCTTATTTCTGAGGAAGACTTCCTCCCTCTGATGTGTTTCTGAGTCTTAGCTTATCTCAAACCCTCTGGTCAATTCACGGAATAGCTTTGAGAAATATGTATGTCTTTTGAGGGACTGCGTATGTTTTTCTCTTCAGAACAATGGATGGCCTAAATGAGTCATCCTTGAAAGCACTCATCCGCAGTCACAGAGAGAAGGATCCCAGGGATGGATTGACACAGACACACGCACATATTATGCACACACAAATGTACACACATACGGACCGCTTTAAATTCAAAATATCAGCAATTTCTTGTTATGATATGAACAATCCTCTCTCTCTCTCTCTCTCTCTCTCTCCCCACCTACTATAAATATACACACACATAATCACATAGCGGCCCGTCCACACTACAGCTTCAAAATAAGCTTGCCGGCGGGCGTGTCTGAAGCTCGACCAACAACCAATCACATGAATCTCCCGCCCCTGACACACAAGCAGCGGTTTGATTGGCTAGAGCTTGTACTGGCATACGATTTGATTGGCTGACGCTTCCACCGAAAGCTTCAGAAGCTTCAAAAGTTGAACATTGCTCAACTTTTGCAGCCTGAAACGCCAGGAAAGCTCCGCTCTGCTACCCACAATTCAGTTCGGCGAAAAGCGAGGCAACGTGACGTCACCCCATTCAAAGTGAATGGGCAGACGCGTTGGAAACCGTTTTTGAAGCTGTCGAAGCTGTAGTGTGGACGAACACGAACCACTAGTACAGCACACTGATGCCATACAAGTTCAGGTTTCCATAGCAACGGGAGCTCTTGCCCCTCTGTCCCCCTATACTGAAGCGCTTTAAAAGCCCCGGCAAAAAGAAAACCAACACAAAAGCTCAGCAAATGACTGACACAATGTATGTCACATCAACAGAAGCCATATAACATAAGACTGTGCAACATAAATCTAAGCCATATTTATTATCAAGAAATGTCAAAAATGGAAAAGACCACTATAGGAAAATCTCTTTATTAAAAACTGTAACTGTGTGTTTGTGTGCATGTAATGTTTTCCATTACATTAATGTTTAATCCATTCAGTGCATCTGACATATTTTCCATGTTTGTACCCTCCTAGGGTGACGAAGAAGCGAGTCTGGGCCTTCCCATCAGCCCTTTCATGGACCGGTCCGCTCCACAGCTCGCTAAACTGCAGGAGTCGTTCATCACTCACATCGTGGGGCCTCTGTGCTCCTCCTACAACTCTGCTGCTCTTATGCCGGGACGCTGGGTTGACCCCCCTGAGGGAGAGACAGATGCAGAAGAGGCGAAGGAGGGACTCGATACAGAAGAGGAAGAGGAGGAATCAGCAGATGAGGACACATCAACAAGTTCTGAGAACTCCCGTATGTCAACCTCTGTAAAATAATACAGTCTGTCTCCGTCATGTTTTAATACAAATTGTTTTACTCACATTTATTGGAAGGTATTTGTACCCCATAGCCACTTCATACAACTGTGATGTACTTAGTTAGAATGCCTACAGAGATTGTAAAATTGCATTGTTTGTTATTTAGCTAACATATTAAACGGCCCATTTGGCATTTTGTGATATAAAAGGATTTGCTTTCTTACTGAGATTTAGATTAACGGATTGATACGACTTGTATTTGTCTTTGATAATATGGAGCTGGAATCAGGAGACATTTTTCTTGGTTTTGCATAATGACTAGGAACGGGGAAAAACAGTTAGTTTAACTTTCATTGTTGCTATGATAGCCAGACAACGAGAGGCAACTTCAAGCAGTCACTGGCCACACATTTACATTTTACATTTAAGATGTTGCATGTATTTGACGAAAGAGCGCTTTAGAGATGATGCTTGTGGACTTTTACAAACTTTAAACATTGTCAATGCGGTTTTTCCCTATTTGCTCTATTTATGCTAAGCTAAGCTGAGCTAACTGTCTCCAGATTTTGGCTAACATTTAATGTTCAAGCAGATTGCATCAGTCCTGTATTCTATCTTTTGGCGAGTAAGCAAGGTCAGCTTTTCCAAGAGTTTGTCTAACTGTTGACTTTGTCTCTGACAGAGCGACAAGAAACCAACAAGGTGAGCAGGAGGAAAGTGTTTTGCCAGATAACACAGCATATTCTGGAAAACCATGAAATGTGGACAAGAGTCATCGCTGCAGAAGCTCAGGAGGAAGCTCAGAAAGAGGAGCCAAACTGCATCAGCAGCCCCACTGATCCAATCACAGCCATTCACGAGGAAGAGGAAGAGCTAGCAAGCAAGGAGGAGGAGTCAACTGACGGCCTCGATGAAAGGGAAGAGATACCGGCTATAGAGGAAGAAGAAATCTTTCCACAATCAGAGACTTCGGGGGAAAACGATAAGGAACCAGAGTGATATTATGAACTTTGTCTTCCTCGTTAAACCAGGAATCTGAACGTTGTCTAAACATTCGTATTTCTTTCATAACTAAACTCTTGATATGGTAGCCAGCACATCACTTCGACACAACACTGTAGAAGATATCTGGGGTAATATGTGCCTAACAAAAACCTGGGTTTGAGGACAGGGATTATGCATGCCCAGTTTATCTGTTGAGGGAAGAGAGGTGCAATGAGCAAAAGAAAAAAAAAATATTAGGACTCTAGGCCTACTTGTTTTTGCTCTAGTGTTTGATTTAGTCTGGATCGGCTGCCCTCACCCAGGCTGCCCGTCCCACTACAGGCTAACCACGCAGATTCACAGATTCATTCCACCAGTGAGTAATACACTGTCACAACCCCCCCCCCCCCCCCCCCCCCCACCTTGTTGTTGCACCCACAGCACACTGTGGAGCCACCCAGCTGGTGGAGGATGTGCAACAAGTCCCTTCTCCGTGAAGACAATGGGATGAAAGCCAGGGAAAAGGCTGTGTCCATTGGGGCTCAGCCGTGTGGATTTGAGAGGGAGACGGGGATAAAGGCCCAGTTGTAGTACATTGTGAATACGGACATACACTCACACAAGCTTCACACACGCACACAATGCTACTGTAGAATCACATTCCATTCTCGGAACAGATAAAAGTTTAACAAAGAACCCTGTTGCTCTAAAAGCTTTATTCTCGCTCAAGGAAAAACATACACAACAAGGGTTTTGTTCATATACTACAATGTTTGTCCGCATGTTCTCTCCCTGTGTTTTCTTACAAAAGTAAGCCCAGCACATCTTCACGTTTCAAAGCCACACAACTCAGGAAGGCAGAAACCCATAGAGAAAAAGTGGCCTGGACAGGACCTGTAGCTTCCTTGTCCTTTACTTGCCGCTTTTACAAGATCTTCTTTCTATGCTGTTTGTGATGCTTTTGAACTACTCAGACACGTGGTGCCCTTTGTGAAAAACAAAGGTACCACAAGGAAAACAAGGTAATAGATCACATTATACTGTAGAACACAACTCTATTGAATTACTGCTACAACACTGCAGATCATAGTGTTAATTACATCAAAGCAACTTACAAGACACAAAACTAGCTAATAAGGTCATGTGTTTTGTCAAGAAAATATAATTTATATTCAAATGTTATGCCACTTTCTAACTAATGACCAGAATTATTTCTTCTTTGCAATATAATTTATAGCTGGTATGTAGGCCAATTTTTCCCAAAGTAAAGTAATCCAGTAAGCCATAGAGGCCCGGGAAAGAGTTACCTCACAGCTCCAAATCACCAGAGAGGATTAACCTCCATCATACATAAGGAAATCCAGGGGTTGCTGTGTACCCGCTAAAAATGATTCAATCAGAACCAAATCCTTCATTTGTTATGTTGCACCAAATTGTAAAGACCCGTTTTTTTCTAAGCCTTGCTTTAAGGAATAACACAAAACAAGGGTCACAGCTGCATAAATGTCTATTGATAATTAATATATAATATTAGTTAATCCTTTTTAAAGTCAAATTTAGAATTGACGAAGTGTAAAACTGTAATTTTCTGTGATACTGTCAGGGTTTTCTTAACTAACACTGAGGAAATCAAAATATGTTGTACATGTAGTTAATCCTCAAGGAGAGCCAATAAAAAAGAAAAGTTAGAATTTTACCAACACAGGTAAGGAGATACAAGTGGTTTGAAAAAGGCTGTAATTGAAGATGTCTTTTATTCTGCATGGTTTCTTTTTAAAGTAGCATGTAATGGACAAAAAATATAGAAAATATAGAGTTAGAGAATGTTTCGTTGAGATCTTATCATACATAGGTCAGCAGACCTGGATCTTTTTTCTCCATTTGCAGTCCTTACCAATGACACAGTGTATGGCCTAACGAGGTGTCTTTGCTCTCCTTTGATGTTCTCAGAGAATGAGACTGGTGGCGATGGAGAAGAGTGTGAACACGGAGAACAGCCTTAGTAATGAGACTTAGTAATGAGAGAGGAAGGAGGAGAGGGAGAAGCCTTTTAGCCTGACTTGTAGCTGCTTATGACAAGTCAATGGGGGGTCTTAGATCCCTTTCACATTTCAGTAGATTCCTCTAGATGTAACCCTTTGAAGATGAGCCAGTTTGGTCGGATTCCAAATCATGTGATGATATACGTCTCCAAGTCTGCAAAATGTATTACACAGATACTCAGTACAGTGTATTTGATCTGACATTGGCAAAGCTATACGCAGCACTGGGGATTCAGGTTCAGAGATTTATAGATGCTTTGTGTCTTCACTTACTGATGTGTAGCAGCAGTCAATGTGTCAAAATTGCAAAGTGAATTCATGCACACTTTAACACAATTTAAAGACTTTTGGGAATTTCGACAGCACTTTTGGTAGAAGCTGCCTTAAGGTTTGCTCAGGAGGCTGATAAATCACAGCGTGTATCTGAGGGGCTCGTTAACAGAGGTATTTCAGTTCATTGATATGTTATTTTTCTTCAGCTCTGTAGCAGGTAGGGAATTTGCAAGAATGCAGTCGTGGAATCTCTGAGGCAACATAAAATGCCCAGGAGAATTGTGATTAGTTCATTCACAGAGCATTAGATAGAAATGCAAACATCCTCTAAGGATACCAATTATACTTAATGAAATGAAATTATTTAAATCCACTGGACAAAACCAGACCAAGCAATCTATTGAATAGGCTTGTTTGCAGACACTATCGAAGTTTTTTTCTGGCTGAACTTGCCCTACTGTGACCCAATTTTTTAAATCAATTAGAGTTTTACTAACTTTAATACTGTCTAAATCCTCAGCTGTATCCATTGCACTGTTATCAAAACGCCCATTGTGCAAAAGAGGCTTCAACTCTGCAACCTAATGCCCTTGACTGCATATTTCTTTTGCACAGAGAAGGGTGCAATGGTGAGATTTCTTTCACTGCTATAAAAAAAGAAAGCCTGTGCTCGTCGATGCCTGAGCATATTGTTAGTGTTTCAGATCCAGCTGAGAGGAAAGAAAACCAGGTTTATTTATTGTAGCACTTTTTAACAACAGGGAAGTTTGAGGTTATTTGTAAAAGACATATTATGCCTCAAAAAAAGAAAAACAAGTATATACAAAAAGACACATTTGAATGAATAAAATGAAATGAAAGATAAAAAAGCTTGAACAGAATAAAAGAAAAGTTTCGAACTCAGTGCTGCTTCTCCATGTTTAGTTCTGACTTTGGGGACGGTAAGCAGACCTGACGCTTCATGACGGAGCAGAAGATAAGGCTTTTATTTTGGCCCTAAAGCCATTCGGTGCTTTATAGACCAACAAACAAATAGTAAATTCCTTGACACACAGGAGGCCAGTGTAGCAATCTGAGAGCTGATGTCGTCTCTTGGTTTTAGTGAGGACTCAGCGTTCTGAGGCAATGCAGACGTCCGATCGATCCAATTCTACATCCTGCTGAGACGCAAACCTTTTATTTTTTATATAATCTTATAGTGATATCAGAATGATTTGGTAATTTTCTTAAGGCGGATTTCAAAATGTAGGTCTGACTCCATGACTACACTTTTGAGTCCATTATTTCAGACATTTATATTTTCAGTCATTTTTTAGTTGGCGAACAATTCCATGTAGTTTCTCTTATAAAACTTTATCGGAAGTCCTTCCAGCGTTGCTAAATTACCCCCAGCATTGAAGTGGCTCAGTCCATAATGAAAGGAGCAAATGTTGCTTGGCAACAGAAAAAAAGGAAAAGAGAAAGGGGTTATCAGACCCCTGAACAATGTACGTCTTAGCTGCCAAAACGTGCAGCAGTGTGTTTTTAGTATAGCAAGTTGACTTATATTTACATGTCCCTTGCTGGACCTTATGTCTTCCAATAGCCTGTCCTTGCATTGGCTTCTCATGATAAGTTTATCTGTAGTGGTGAGAATGATCTGCACACCAGCTGATACACAACTAAGGCAACCTAATGGGTCTTTTAGTTGACCCTTTTTGAAGATCTGTAGCTATCAAATTTCAGCTTAAAATGACATAAACTGTAAAAAGCCTCCTGTAAACAACAGGATGACGAATGAGCTATTGCTCCATGCACTGTAAATACGCGACGCACCGTATAGTATATATCGAGGCCTCACTTGCAATCTATTGTGCATACTCTTGCAATGGATTTTTTCTTATATCTCACATTTGCACCATCCCATGCCTACTTCTGTTTTGGAATTTGTAGATTTTCTCCCACTCCTTTCCCTTTATTATCCTGAATTCCAACTGATCAGAGAATTCAAAGCTCACTCGGGATCCAGTTAGTCAAAATAGATGCTTCCCTTCCTCTGATCTCCCTTTCCAGCCCTGCCTCACTAACTGTATACACTGCAGTGCAGCAATCAAAGAGACGGAATCAAAGCTGTGATAGAGTTTGTGGTCACTATTCTTTTTGTTAACAATCTGAAGCTGTTTGTTGCCATTGAGGTTTTTTTTTGTCAGACATAAGGAAGGGTTTCCTCAAATCTTAAAGAGTAGCTTTCTTCATCTTCGTTGGCTGGTTTAATAAGTGTCTTGTGAAATGTAAAGTAGGCTACGCATGATTAAGTGAAACGTTTTAAAACACTGGTAGGATCCCAGTTTTGCAGTAACTTTAACCCAACTCTGCAGTGATGTCATGGTGCACTGACACACCTTGAATTACACTTGTACATTACTATTACATGTCATTTGTTAGACGCTTTTATCCAAAGCAACTTACATACATTCAGTACTGTGGACAATCCCCACAGGAGCAATTTGGGGTGAAGTGTCTTGCCCAGGGACACAACGACATGCTGACTGCAGTGGGACTCGAACTTGCTACCTAGTGATTCGAAGTCCAGCACACTACCACTGAGCCACAGCCTCCCTCCCCAAATCACTGCAGTGAAAGGTTAAACCACTTGAGGATGATGAGTTGCCCTTTGAGTTTGTTTGACGCCCTTCCTTTTGGCCCTATTAAATATCAACTACCCGCTGGCTCTCAAAATTCTTTATTTTCTTCAGAAATATTCTTGGCAACCAAACATGAAAGCTCATTTTACCATTTTTTTTTTATTATCCGAGTGTCTCTTGGCAACATCAGTGGCCAGAGACATCTCGTTTTACATTGTCTTTGTGTAAAAACTGGTACAAAACAAAGCCAGTATCAGTAGTTTCTTTTAAATAGGGACGAGCAGAAGGCGATTGCTGCACACTGAATTAACTTGTGCAAACCAAAGACACTTTATGAACTTTGTCTTTTTCTGTGATTTGCACAAAAAAGAGCCCTAAAAGGAGCATGTTTCTTGCATCTTCTTATTGTTCAGTGTTATTCAGAGCCTGAGAAGGATGTCTGGATATGCTTATACTTAGTAACAATTGTCATGTACAGACAGGGAAGATTAAAGCATAAGAAACTTTGATGAAGCATTGATCTAACAGACAGGGGCGCCGTAAGGGGGTGAAAAGTTAGGACGATTCTAAGGGCCCGTGACTGACAGGGGCCCAAACAATTTTAGAACATTAAGAAAAAAATGTTTAAGTAACCAATGTGATATCTTTTCATGGTGCCTAAAATCCCTGGCGGCTCCCCTGCTAACAGACGGTGTAGTATTTTTATTTCACTGCATTGTGATAGGCAGCAGTAGCACAGTGGACCTGGCAGACTGTTCTGCTCTCAGACTGAAGCCCTTTCTTTTGATGGTTTGAACCAAAAACATTCCTTTTTGTATTGTTTGTTGTTTCAGCCAATTTAAAGGGGGCTCTGCTCCTATGCCATACCATTTTCACATGTATGTCTATACTCTTTGAATGCTACATTCTTCAGCTTTCGGTGTTCGTTACAGAGGAAACCAAAACAAACTTTTTTTTCATTTAAAGCAACACAAACAAGACTAGTATGATTATTTTTTATTTTCTACTGTATAGCAGGCGCTTCACAGACTCAATTGTTTTCTTCTCACCAGTATCTTGCACTTGTAGCAATACACATGTAGCAATACCTACAGGATGGGACATTGTGTGATTCACCAGTATTTGTTTAAGTGATATATGACATTTTATTTCTAGATATGGTTTGGCTTTGTATGAAACAAATATATTCTGTACAGATTCAAAGTATATTATGAAAAAAAAACTTTTAGAAAAATATTTATTTTTACTGTTTTGTAATTTAGACACAATACTGTAGCTCCTCTATTGCCAGACTTACTGGAAGTGCCTCTCGATAATGTATTACAAATGAACTATACAATATATTGGGATTATTAGAACCTGTCACTAGCAGAGCAGTGTTGATGTTGTAATGTGAATATTGTTGAATAATAAGATTTATAAATGCTGCACATGTGTCTGTCATTTATCCAAGTTTCAGTTGGACTAGGACATTTTTATAACAAATATTGAAATGTATTTTTGAGTCCGGTGGTCAAGAAAAGTCAACTTGTCCTACAGTAAAGCAAAGCCTAACTAACATAAAGCAGCTCCCTGCATTTGGCCTATTTAATAGTTGCTCGGACCATATCTGCTAATGACTTTGTAATAAATAATGATGTTAGATGTTATATTTTCTGCTTGAATGTATGTGTTAGAAGATACGTGTAAGGGAAGTATGGCCAAGTGCAATACAGTAACACTGAGAGCAGTGAGTGTCAACAAAAAACAGCTTCTGCTGCCAACACTGATCCTCATGGCTGTGAAAACAGATTTATTTTCACAGGTTGAGTTTGAAGAGGAGACTGGCTGCATCTGATTTTAAGTGACATCTAATCGGTAAGTCTGTTTGAAGCATGGCGAACACATTACAGTTTGATTACAGTATTCATTGATGGTTTAGAAAGTGTAATAGTTTCTATTGCAATATTTTTTATTAGCTAGCCATGTTTTTGTAAGTATCTTCTCTCTTGTCAAAACCTCGCATTGCATCTTGACTCATGACGGATTTGGGTTTGGGTTACTCTGTTTCTTAAAATAAAGGCAGTCAAAGATTGAATTGGAAGAAATGTATTAATAGTGAGTTTATGTAAAGTCAAGTACAACAGGATTGTATAATTTTATTTAAATCATGTTATACAACATAAGTAACACTTAACTGAGGCCAATATACTTTATTGTATTTAGAAATGTCCTCCCAGTGGAGGTTGCCAATCATTTAATTATCTTGAAGGCTATTAAAAGTTATTGCTTGCTTCTAAGAACACATACAGAATGTCATGAGATGTGAGGGGAAATGTTTAATGTTCACCACATTGTTGCAGTGACTATGACATTTGAATGGTTTGTTTTTCTTGTGCGACTGTGTTTGTAAAGTGTGACTTTTGTAAAGTGTACATTTCAATGAGCAAATTAAGTCTTACTTTTCCAGTATTTCTGGGACCGAGGATTTTAGAAATTGCATATTCTTGTGTCTGGTATGAAGAGAAAGTAATCTCTTTGGTAATCTGGTTTTCATGGAAACTGCCTTCTCTTTGAAGCCCTTTTTATCCGATCAATTTTGCCTCAGCGTTCGGAATTTACCAGTGGGTGAGTTTGAATATCAAAATCCGACATCCTCTTTTTCCATTCACCGGGTGGATTAAGGTTATATGATTTAGGTCTGGATTTGTATTTTGATGTAGACATTTACTCTTTACTGTTTCTCTATCCTACTAATTATGTGCTCTCAGTGACAAACCCCCCCCTCCCATTCAACATTGTTCTGTATCCACAACTACCTCAGAGCTTTATTTTCTCCCCTTCATTAATTCCTTTCTCCCGATAATCCATGCCCTTCTTAGATCTGACCGTGTGACGTCGGTGGATAATGCTCATGCATGGTCTCAAGCATTGTAAGAGAGGCGGAGGGATCACAACTAGCCAACAATCACATCTGCTTTTTTATCTACATGCCTGGACCATTTATTTTTTAAGAGGAGGGTTGAATAGTTTACCTGATGCGAGGGGAAAGTCTAATTCAAATAGACAAAACTGATAAGGACAAGAGCTGCTAGAATTTACGGAGATGTGACACAGCTATCCTTGACTTGCTGCTATTGTTTTTTACTAAGATATGTGGCACATCAGTTATTTATCTCTTGAACCCTCAATATCTTTATTAGAATGATTTGGTCAGTGTGATTACGTATACATTTCAGTGTGTTAAGCAAATGAAAATACGTTTAACCTCACTACTGCAGCACAGAACCATGCCTAATTAGGCTATATGAGTGTCAACTCACACTTTGTCATGTAGTACAAATTACCTATTATCCAAATATAATCGTATTGTATCACTTAGATTTCTATGTAAGGGCAAAAACCATGGTCATACCATTTACTTACACAGAGGAATTAGCAACACCAGATTAAGCAATCGCCTAAATCCGTTTGATCGAGATTAATAACAAAAAATGACTTGGCGTTGTTTTGCTCATTATGCTCCAAAACTCCTTCAAAGGATAATACTATATTTTGCAGTAAGGAAAAAAAATCAATATTATTTTAATAGTACAATTAATGCAAATATATTCCAGATTGGAAAATTAAACTTTAATATAGTTATCAATTGAGCATCCAGTCAAGTTTTCCTTCTGTGTCAACATCAGTGATAATGACCGTTTTAGAGGGGAGGATGCTATATATGTTCAACAGATAATGTTTACTGTGTCATAGTGCCACTGTTTCTGGCCTGGCGTCACCCAAGCCCTTCATATTCCATAGACCACAAGTTACCATAGCAACACAGAACATGCAAGACTGTGTCTAATATGGGGCCGAACAGGATCAGTGGTAAAAAGGGGCAAAGTTTCATATCATTATCCTTTTCTGAAAGGGCAAATATTTTGGAAAATCATAACTATTGTTTAGGTTTAGAAGTCAATGAGATCATCAAAATATGCTTGTTTCTAGCCTTGAGTATCACATTAATAGGCCATTGCTACACAATTCATGCCCAAAAGGGGATACGTCAGGAGAAACAACCAAGCAGTCTGTTATTTTGATCAAAAGTATTGATTCCTCTAGGTTTGAATATTGTTGAAAGCATTTATTTTAGTTAACAGTCTGTCAAAGCGTCTTTGAGTTTTTAGAAAAGCGCTATATAAATGTATTATTATTATTATTATTATTATTATTATTATTATTATAACAGAAATATTAATGAAAGTAGGTTAAACAACTCAACAGCATAAGATAGGTCTAGTAATTATAACTTATAATTACTAGACCTATCTTATGCTTATCCTTTAAGGTATAATATAAAATGNATTGCGTGTAACGTGGTCAGGTTTCGCAGATTGCTATCTGAGCTGCGAGGGTTCGGGTGGTTTGCAGATTGCAAAAACTGGACCCCATGCAGGCCTCTGCCCCCAAGAGGCCTTTTAGTTGAAGGCTTAACCCTTGTGAATCCTTTTAAAAACGATTACTCTGAACACTAACGAGCAAAAATGTCCCGCATCTACAAATAACTGTAATAAAGATACTTATATGGCCTAATGTAATATTGGGTTGTTCCCACTTTCAATTACTTACATCTTTTAACCATTCAGTGCTGATCATAATTATCAAATGTTCCATGCATTTTTATTTTTTGTCGCTAGGGGATTTTTGAAGTCACTTGTGTGGGTGACTCTAGTTAACCCATAATTCACTTTTGGGTCACATTCCTACACGGACCTTGTTTAGTGTAACACCGGAGATATATCGGTGCCAGCTAGAGCTACGCAACGCACTCATCAACTTGACTCTCATCACTGACTACATGCTCCTGAATGGATAATCCCATCCTTAA